GACCTATGCTTTTCTCTGTCCTTTTCAAACGCCGATGTTTTTAGTGAGCCTTTTCGTGTCAATACTGCACAGCTGCACTCAAATAGCACTTGAAACCTTCTCGAAGACCTACAGGATTAAAAGAGATTCCCGCCTGTTAGAATGGGTAATAAGAGGTTTCACCCACCCTCCTTATTCCTATAAATATCCTGTGAAAGAGAAGGGGACCCGGGCTCAGCAGAGATGTAGGGTGGGGGGGCATGGAAGTTCGGGGCTGCAAGAGGACAAGATGAGCTGGCATTCTATGGATAATGCGGCTGTGCCGATGGCCCCAGAACAGTCTGCTGGCTCTGAGGAGCCTGTCAAAGCCACCCCGGCAGTCCCACTGCTGTCTCTTTGATATTTAGAATTGAGGAGGCTGAGGTAAACCCAGTCCAATTAAGCATGTGGTGCTTTAATCAAATAAAGATTAAGGGCAAGCAAAGACAAAAATAGCACCTTTACTGATTTCTGGGAGATAATTAAATCAGACTTGCTGCGCAGAGACAGAAAGGATGTTGTAAGTTTATAAAAGAGAAGACCTTAAATTCTGCAACATTAAGTTAATGCTCAGTGCCAATGAAACAAAGAAATCCCCTCACTGCCGGGTGATGTGGTGGAATCAGGATAGTTAGTAACCATTAAAGGAGATTACGAAAAGTGAAATATTCTTAGTGACTTGAGCCTAATAAACTACACATACATTGAATAGTTAGATCAGAGGCTATTTTAATGTGCTGCATAAAATACAGAATTTCCAAAGAGAGGAGACTTCTTTGCTATTAGATTTCTCACTGAACAACATTGATATTCCATGAAAGGTATTAGTAAAATCTCAGGGTGTACCTGAAGGTCTGGAAATACATGTATTCTGTGTATGTATGTATCTATGTCTGTACCTGTCCATAGTGTCCGACAAAGATGCTTTCCCAGCTCCTGTCATTCCTCCGGGGAAAGCTCCTGGCAGCCTTCCTGCCTGAAAACAGCTTGCCTGGGTCCTCTTTACTCATCCATCAATGGAATGTGTCTACCCCACACATGCTAATTGCCTGGAACGTAAAGAACTATATTCGATATGTGCTTTTACTCAGTGTTTATTTCATCAGTAACTGCAATAGTTAGGATCTTTGGTTGCAGGCAACAGAAAATGACATTGGGCCGTTTATAAAGAAGGGAATTTCCTAGAAATTTACTAGGAGCTCAGCGAATCTGCTGAAAAACTGGGAACAGGGCTTGGTACTAGTCCTTACATAAGGCCACTCAGGAGGGCTGGGCATGTTTCCAGACCAGGAACAGTCACGTCAGGGCTCGTTAGCGGGGAAATACGGGATTCCGCCAGCTTCTTCCTTCCTAGCATGTCTTACGTAAAGTGCAGATCCTGGAAGACAGCAGCCAGTTCCCTGGGCTCCTGGCTCTTCTGGGAAAGGATAAGGAAAGCTGGTTTATTTGATGCTCTTGGTGGGTGGCAGGCACCTGAGTTACTACCAAGATGGCACAATAGAAAATAAGTCAATTTCCAAAAGAGATTTTGAAAATTTGTGTCCTATAGAAAGGAGAAGTGGGCTCCAAGCTGCCAAATATATAAAACATGCATGCACATAACTATCTATTGCAATAGTGTGTGTTTACGTTTGATTTAAGTTATGTATATTTCCATTGGGTGTATACAGAGATCTATTCCACTCTTAATGGCATCTTGCATTCATAGTGCTTAATGAGTCCTTCAGAGTCAGAGGTTTACAGATGGGATGCAGGCTTGGAAGGGCACGAAACGCTTCTTTAATGAATCTGTTCTGGAAGGAATTTCCCTATTTGGAATGATTTCTTCTTTAGGGTCTAGCAGAGAAGGAATGAGGGTAAAGCATTGAGTCAGAACACATGTATTGATTGGTTTATGGGGTCCTCCAATAGTGACTCAGTGATGAACAGATTATTAATTTGATAATTGCTGGATAGTTGGGTGGACGTGCACAGAAGGAGGGTTTACGGCATCTGTGGGAAAGGGACATGGAGTGTGAGGGGGTAATTTTGGGTCACACACGAGATGTATGACACAAAGCCAGTAGTAGTTCGAGAGAAAAGGCAGAATGAATATGAAGTGATCCAGGGTACATCATTTTTAAGACTAAAACTGATCAGATCTTATACTTAGCCAGTATATCTTTTGTCTTGATATTATTTATAGAGGTTAGTTGTTATTTAGCTGTGTTTATGGATAAACATCTTAATCAAAATCAATAGAGACACTAAATTTTTGCTTAATTAAAAGTAGGGTGATCATATTATTTTAAGTTTACTTACAAATATAATTAAGAGGCCTTTCCCCCAGTGGTTACTATTAAAGTAAGTTATAGTGATTTGAAAACACTATGAAAGCTGTAATCACAAAAACCAGTTCAAAGTTATTACATCTTGAATTCTTATTTTAAGTTAGTGCTTTGATCTATAGTTACCGATGTGCATTTTCTGCAGAAAAAGTGCTTTCCGTAAAAGAATGGGCATTTCAAACCTACTAGTGGAGCTAAATGTCACTTAATTGAATGGGCCAAAAGAAATGTATGTTTCTCTGTGTGATTTCCTTTTGCAAATTGAGGTTTAATTGACATATAACATTATGTTAGTTTCAGGTATGCAACATAATTGATAATTTTATGTATTGTGAAATGATCACAATAAATCTAGTTAACATTTGTCACCATATGTTAGTTATTTAAAAAAAGGTATCCCCCTTTAAATCCATCCAGTCCAGTTGTGGTTTTTATCACTATTCTTTCGTGATGGTGTTCAGCTGAGATTGGTCTTTTTTTTCACCCATAGCTCTCCAGTGGTGAATATTAACTTATTATCTCCAAGGCTCACAATACATACAGGTGTTGTCAAAAGTAGGTTTACAGCTGTTGTGGGTATGTGAAAGAGTTAATTCTGTATTATTATTGATTAATTACTGTGTTATTTATTTGTATTGCAACCGTAAGCTTATTCTGGCCCTCCTCTGTGTGAGAATTACAGGTGGTTTACCCTGTAGGCTACCTTTTGCTTTACTGACATGGTGCTGGAGAGCTTGTCTACTCTTTAGAAACTAAAACTGGAAGTAAAGGATGCTGTATTTGGTCTCCAAGGTGAAGTCAAATGATCCCACATTACTAGAATTTTCTTAATGAAAGAATCTTTAGCTATGGCAGCAACATATGTTGTGTAGAAGCAGCAACACCTATGTAGAAATGTGAGAATCTGAAGAAAATTTTAAACAAGGGTCCTTCATATGAGATTTGGAGAAGGTCCGATAGAGAAAATGATGGACAAAAGTAGGTCACGAGAGAGCTTGCATTAGAGCAAGGAAAGGTAGGACACTACGCCTTACGGAGAGATGGGCTGAGCCTTTATTTCTTTTTTCTGAATTTTCTTCTCTCGTGCTACCCTGTCTCTCCCACACCTCCCAGATCCCTCAGAAACCTTTGTCTGCGGGGGTGGCTGCTATAGCTGGACTTAAAGGCTTTTCCTTTATTATTCTCACAAAATCTTCCTGGAGCAGGCTAATATCATCACCAGTTTACAGATGAAGGAACATATGTCGGTAGCCCGCAATTATGAAGAAAATGGCAAAGCAGAGATTAGAAAGTGGTTTTGTGCTTAGTTACTTAAAAAAGATTCAGCATTTTCATGTGATTAATCCCAGAGTAAGTGGTGTGAAGAGTCAGAACTATCTGAAAAATTTCAGAAGGGGAATTGCATCTCCCACCAAGGATTTTTTTTTCTTTCAATACAAACATTTTAATGGAAAACTCCCAATGATCTCAGAAAATAAGGAAGAAAAAAATTGTGACCCCTCCAAACATTTTTAAAAATAAGTTTTTATACATTAACCCAGACGACAGTGAAAAACTGGGTACTTTCCTGAGACCCAGTATGTTTATTGGCAGGTCCATATACTTAACTGGAAATACGTATCTGGAGTTGGGTTGCTGCAAAGAGGAACAGAAGGAGGTGTGGCCACCAGCAGGTAACAAGATGGCCAAGCAGGTTGGAGCACAGTCAGCATCACGTGACGGTGTCTTCCGCTCCGCTCCGCCCTCCCCACCTCCCTCAGGTCACTGGGGCCGAGAGCAGAGTTGGCTGCTGGACAGTTGCTGCTCACATGTCCTTCAGGACATGTGTTTTCAGTCTTAGAACGCTTCCTCCTTTCTCTTTTTGTAAAATCTGAGGCAAATAAAAGCAGAAGCTAATTTTATAATACTAGGTTTCAGAGATAAAGGACTATAACGAATACTGGAGAAAACGAAAATAAACAGTTCATGTGTTGTACTGAATCAATGGTTAGTATATTTCCTATTTTAACTCTATTCAGCATTGTGTGGGCTTTGTCGGGTCACAGGTGTCCAAGCTCCAGAGACCTCATTTGTATAGCAGAGCTCATCTTCCTGGTCTTGACAGGATGTCTTGAAGAATAACTGAGTGCCAGACACAGTAGAGGCTGAATCTATATTGAATACTTTGGTCTAAACTGTGATTATAACCCAGATCTTTCAGACAAGGGCTGAATGCTGTCTTTTGGAGTTACGCACGAGCTATTTCTATCTAAATAACAATGTAGAAACATGTAGAAAGAGCGCCTCAGTGTTTGGAACTCAGCTCTGTGGCTTTCCTAGCTGGTTATCTGCTTCAGTCTGTCCCAGTTTGTGTGATTGCCACAAAATCATTCAACAGCGGTATCTCATGCTCCCTGTAAGAGCATCGCTCACCCACCTAGGGCTTAATGAAGTGAAAGTTTTAGCGCTTAGAAAATAAGCAGGTGTTAAAAAAGCACAAAATGCACTATCATTTTGTGAAGGTTAATAGGCTTTTTCTATTTCTGTTTTTTCCTCCCTAGCATTGCCATCTAACAAGCAGCTGCTTCTTCAGATGAAGCAGAGATTGAAATCTCACACCAACAGGATTAGCTGATGTGGGACAGACACGTGCTACCTGAACTCCACCCCCAAGGAAGGAGTGACCGAACGGAGAAGACGAAACACAGAGAGACTCCGCGGCAGAGGAAGTCAGCAGAGCAGAGTTTAAATGGACACAAGGCTATGTGATGTTGTCTCGTTTCAGAAAGAACCTTCTGGTGGTGAATGTTTATTAGATGCATACTGGTTCATTTGTTTGCTCGCTTCTGAGTGACTACATAATGAATATAAACATCTTTACCAAAAGAAATATGGTAGAAAAAGAAGCAGGTACGTTTTGCAAAAAAACTTTTGGTTTTGTATCATTTAACTTGCTTAACAAAAGGGACAAAGGGGAAGTTAGATGCAAAATATATGCTGGCTGGAAGATATTCTGGGAGGAAGACAGTAAGAGGTGGGACTAAGAGGGGAACACCATGGCGTCTTCCTCTGTCTGTCATGGAAAGAAAAATTAGACATATTTGGGGGGCGGGGCGTATGGACTTCTTGACGTAGTGATGGCTTCCCGATGTCTGGAACTTGACAACTTGCCCTGCTCTCCATTTGCCAAATCAGCAAAATCACAGAGGGATTCCTGCATTCAGCCAGATGACCAACGTCAGGCCTTGATATGCCCGCTCAGGAGCTTTAAGTTACCTTGGAGAGGGCTCACATGGTTTGGAAGATCCTTCCAGAGCAGAACTGATGAACTTTGGAGCTGCTCAGGCCTCGGTAGAAGTAGTCCTCCTTGGCAGCGTGTGTGTACATTGCAGGCCTTGGAATGGTTGCTGGTCTGTGTCGATTATGAGCAGCCGGTGTTAGCTAAGGGATTTATTGAATTAGTCATGCCTGGTAACAATGACATGAAGTGTTTCTCGCTGGATTATTAGTTGATCGCTCTTATGGTTACTCTTTCAGTTTTAGATTTATTTTTCTTATCCATTCAAACACAGCTTCATGTAATGAAGCGGGTGGTTGGGAATCTGCTTCCCAAAATAGGCCGCCCTTTTTTTTTTCTCAAATCCATTTGGTTGTTTCTATTTGTGGGGTGCAATTATGAGACATCACAAGTTTTCATAGCTGTGGAAAACTAGCAGAAGGCTCTGAGGAAAGCCATGGAAACGATAAAGAACTAGGAAAAGGAAAGGCTAACATGTTTCCTGGAGAAGGTTGGGAATAGCAGTGATGCTTGTACGCCACTTTTCCTAGCACACCTGCTCCAATACATATAGGTGATCACCTTATATCCAACCAGCGGTAGCCTTCAAGTTCATGGGGGCTAATGTAGAGGCTATTTTCTATTGAGAAGTGGGCCTGAGCTTCAAGATGGTCACAGAGTAGATACTCTCTAGATAACAAATATTCATTGGATTAAATTGAATTCAGTGTGGGTTTTCATATAAGCTGCATGCTGGTAGTGAAGATCATTAAACTTTAAAATGTGGCATCTTTACTTGAGAACACTTTTAAAATTGGATAGCTAATTATCTGTTTAGAATAAAAGTAGAGAAGTAATTCTGAGTACTTTCTAAGGATGAATACAGTTCTTGATTTCACTTGTGTGCTTGGCTTGTGTGTAAACAAATGACTAAATCCCTAACTTGTGGGTGAAATAACACTTACATACAAGATGACTAGGTAAAAAGAATCTTTGTATTTGAAACCTTGATTTTCCTCTGATCACAAAGTGCATGATAGTCCTAGTTCAGCACTACGAGGTCTCCTGATGAAAAGGATCACATACGTTCCTAAGAGTGCTCAACATGTGTTGCAGATGTACGGTAGTCCCTGAGAGCATTTTATTGAGGGGGAGAAGAGATAGAATAAAAATCTGCCTTTTCTGAAACATGTAATTGCATAGAGGGTATGTTGTTCCAGAAGAAATAGTGCTAATGGGAATTAATAAATTTAAACTGGAATGTGACCATAATTATACTGTTGGAGAAAGTTTCTGTTCTTTTTCTGGCTGATAAGTGCTAGGGTAGACATTTGGTCCCCTCTCCAGCATTCATTAATTCCCTGATCCTGGCAGGAAATTTAAGGGACATTGACCTGAATTATACCTCCATGTATACAGGGGTGAGAAAAAGTAGGTTTACAGTTGTCCGTATGGAAAATAATACAATAATTAATAAATAATAATACATGAGGAAACTCTGTGTTTTGTGTACTTATAACTGTAAACCCACTTTTGCCTACCACTGTATAATCAGGTGGTTCTAATTGTTTTAGGTGTTACTGGCATATGCCCATCTCCCTGACCGCATGGAAGGAACATATAACACCGTGAGCCTGATGAGAAAGGGAATTTCAGAAGAAACCTTCTTTCCTCTGGATGATGTAAGTAGATGCAAAGGCTGATAACGCTGCAGCCATTTTGCTACTTGGAGGGAAAACCCAGATCTTCTGAAGATGAAGCTGACCGCCTTTCTCTTCTTTTAGTTTCCTCATCTTTACAATGGAGACGATAATAGGACCTTCTTTAAGCTGTTTTTTTTGTGTGTGTGTGAAATTAAATGATTCAACTTATGTAAGATATTCGTAATAGTAAACACTCAATAAATAATACCTTTTATGAGTAGTTATAGTATATTTCTTCTACTTTAACAAAAAAAATCATCATTTTTATTCCTGGAATCAATATAATACTTTTTTTAACTATTTGGTTAATTGTATTTAATTTCCTAAATTATTTTTTTTTCTCCTGTTGGCTCTACACTCCAGCGATCTCTGCAAAATCTTCATTAAGTTTTAGGCTCCCAGCACTACCTTGTTCCCGTCAGCATGTACATGATGGAGCCTTAAGGACTGATGTCGGGGAGCCATCTCTGTGCCTCTCATTCTTTTAGAATACCTGATTCTTCCTCTCGAACCTGCAGCTCTGCAGAGGAGGAAGAGTTGAGAGCGCGAAGAGTTGTGATGCTGTTTCCTAGCAGCGCTCACAGATTGGACGTTTCCAAATGATAACCAACCTGGGGCATCTGTCCAGCTCAGTTAAGAGTCTGCGCTAACAGAGATCTGCACTGGCCAGGGTCTGGGCGGCCGAAAGTTGCACACACAACAGCTTCCACATTGCTCCTGCCATCCCAGGAACGGTTCTTCCTTTAATATCCATGTTTCTTTGCTTATTGTTTGAAAGAGTACCAGAGAGAGAGAATAATGGTCAGAATCAGTTCTAGAAGATATAAATGATGAATTTGTTTGAAAATAACTGTTCCATTTTGGTAAGGAATTTGTCAAGTTTTGGGTTAAATTTGATGGAACAATGACATCTGATACATACAGATATTCTTGTGCTTTGGTAGAGATAATAGGAACCCTGTGGGGATAAGTGCATTTAAATCAAAGGGGTCTAAAACATGCTGTATTTTGTCATGTATAAGACACATCCATGTTTTGTGTGCATTATCCATGAAATTATTATGCCCATTATTATACCCACAGTATGTAACCATTATGCCCCTATATAGTGCACATCCTTATTTTTCCCTAAAAAAGTTGGGCAAAAAGTGCACATTATACATGGCAAAATATGGTAGGTTACCTGTGGGCAGAGGGTGCCACTTGAAGGTGAAGTTCCATATTTTTACTCTATGTTCATCCGTATGGCTTGAATTGTATTTTACAGTGAATTTATGCATTACTTGTATAACTTAAGAAAATTAATTTAAAAATGTCAATAATTTCATTTAAGTCAAGGGTTATATTTTCTATAGCTAACTGTTCAGATCAGATTATTGTAATCATTTCAGGTGCTTAATACATGAGTTACCTGATAATTAAGGTGAATTCAGACTCTATTAAACTTGATTTTTTTTTTCCCTGCTAGTGTGGCTCGGTGGATTGAGCCCTGGACTGCGAACTGGTTCAATTCCCAGTCAGGGCACATGCTTGAGTTTTGGGCCAGGTCCCCATTAGGGGATGTTTGAGAGACAACCACACACTGATATTTCTTTCCCTCTCTTTCTCCCTCCCTAGAAATAAATAAATAATTTTTTTCAAAGCCCCTGAATTTTGGGGGTACAGCTAACTCCTTTTTTATTTTTGAGACATTATGTAATTTAATATTTCTAATAGGCCACCTTGCCTATTGATTTTATGAGGCCTCCACTGCCTCCCATTTTCAATACTGTGGAAATTTGGCCTGTATTTACAACCTCAATGAAGCTTTTGCTTGAGAGAGTTGTTCTGAGATAAAGCAGCATGTTGGATCTCCAAGATATTTATGACTCTTGGCTTTTGCCACTTCCTGTTGAATGAGAATCATTCACCCTGAGAATGGAATTTTGCATTAGCTTCACACTCATGGTGATTAGAACTGTCTGCCGTAGTTTGGTCTAGCAGCTCATGAAAAGTAGAAATTTCAAGCAAGATGGGCCTCTGGGGTCAACCAGCCCGATCTTTCAGTTTGCATATGGAAAGCCAACGGCCCAGGATGCTCGGAGGAATCTTCCCAGGTCTCTGCGTTGCTGTCAGGGGCAGGATGGAGACTGGAAGCCAGTTCTGCCGGTTCCTTCTGCTTCCTGCCACATGGTGTGCTGCCCAGGAGTCGCCCAGAAGTCAGCCTGCTCTTTTCATTTGCGTTCTGGATGCTGTAAACAAATTTGAACCTCGTGGGCCTTGGGGAACTTAGATGACAGAAGATGAAGTTAGTGGAGTAGAATGTAGTGTAAATAAACAATAAAACTCAGGTTTAAACCGAGGAATATTTTACATCTGTGTAGCAGTTTGAAAAGATTATTCTTTTCACTTATAAAAATAACAAATTGTAGGAGACTGTTCTCCGTGGCGTGGGTCCAGCTCCCACTGGGAGATTCACAGCACCCACGCCCACGGATAGGTTCTCCCGTGGGGGATCAGGCCTGCAATGTGCCTATGCCACTTTGAGTCTTGCTGTTTTTTAAGATTTTATTTATTTATCTTTAGAGGGGAAGGGAAGGAGAGAGGGAGAGAAATATCAATGTGTGGTTGCTTCTTGTGGGTCCCCTGCCGGGAACTGGCCTGCAACCCAGGCATGTGCCCTGACTGGGAATCGAACCATGATAGTGTAGTTTGCAGGCCTGTGCTCAATCCACTGAGCTACACCAGCCTTGCTTTTTGCTAAAAACTCCCTCACCCAGATTTGTTGCAAACATTTACTGCAAAGTAACTTCCTAAAATCCATGCTAAATCTTCCAAGGAACTGTAACCAGTTTAACCACTTCTGCCCTTTTCATTTGCAAATATCCCTCTTCTGTGATGTGATTAGCAGCATTGGCTCCTTTGTTTTCTGTAAAAGGTAACCACCTAAAGCAACCTGTGCATAGTAAATGAGGACCATCAAGTAATGTGCCCAGAAACCCAATAAACGCCAGTCCTGGGAAGGGCCGTGGCTTTTGCTCCCCTTGAGAGACAAGCCATGCCCACCCTTTTCCTACACAGGACTCGGTAGTCCGTGTGAATGTCTCATTTCATCTATAATGACTCGGACACTGGGCTGGTGTCTGCATAAACAAATGTTCAATTTAGTAAGTTTTTCAATGCATAAAGAAGAAAATTAAAAATATTAATTGCATTGTCAAGAAATAATCCAGATTAATATTTTTGAGTTACACACATACACAGATATATAAATTCAATTCAGATCATAGTGCTTACATTTTTTAAATTCTTTTCTCCATTTAATATTAATATATGATGAGCACTTTCTTCTGTCATTGAATGTTCTGCAAAAATATGCTCTTTAACAAATTAAAGATTTTTACATTGTTCTTTTTGATTTCCATTGTTTTAAGTGACAAACCATTAGAAGTGGTTGATGATGTAAAATAAACACGGATTTAAAAGACAGGGTGCTAAGGTTTGGTGCTATGATCTGAGACGTCAGCATGAAATGGACGGTGACAACAGCAGTTGAAATCTGTCGGTCCCCTGCAAGCAGCAACATGAGGTCATTCAGAGGCTGGTGACAGTCAATTCAAGGACACACGCTTAAGACAATGCAATAGTTTTTTTTTTAAGATTTTTATTTTTATTTTTAGAGAAGGATAGGAAGGGGAGAGAGGGAAAGAGAAAGCTTGATGTGTGGTTGTCTCCTGAGCACCTCCTTCTGGAGACCTGGACTGCATCACAGGCATGTTCCCTGGCTGGGGATTGAACCTGTGACCCTTTGGTTTGCAATCTCCTGAGTGACACCAGACAGGGCATATGATGCAATAGTTTCTATTTTGTCCTTTGCATTAGCACAGACTTATAATTCACAGCATTATTTAGGTCATAGACTGGTCACTATGGGCCACCCCGAGATAAAGGCCTCATCTTCTGGGTGGAAGTGACTCAGATGCGTAACCGACTCCAGGACTCAGGCACAGATGATCCAGCCTCTTTTGTGTCTCAACAACACACGGCCTTGGGACCACATCACTGCTCATTACCTTTCTGCCAGAACCAGGGCAGTTCAAGGAGGGAGAGATAAAATCCCAAAAGGCCACTTTGTTCCACGTTTATCAATTTTGCTAAAAGGCATGATAAAGAATGAGGTAAAGTATTTGAAGTGCTTGCCTTCATTTTCTTCGTGTGTTGCCTGTTGCCGTAGATAATTCGGAGCTTGCAAGTTTCCACATAACCTCAAAGAGGAAAGTCAAATCCAGCATCAAGGCTGGTTTATCATTTGGGGCTCTAAAGCGGCTTAACCGATTAGAGGGGCCCCGCTTCTGACACGCGCTACCTGGGAGAATGGGGCTGGGCCGTGGATGAAACCAGCCTCTGTCTAGGGTGCTGGCCACTATCATGCCTTTCCTTTCCTCTTTCCTCGTTCCCACAGATTTCTAGGGTATTGATCATTAAAGAAGTTAATTTACCTGTGTTCTAATGACTTCAGCAGCACTCAGGTAGACAGCAAAGCACTCTGGGTGAAAAGAGAGTGTGTGTAATGATTCCAGAAAATGTTCCCAAGTCTGATAAACATGAGGTGCAGAGAGCAGTAAAGATGCAGGGACATTTTGCTTTCTTCGTGTTTCCACTGCAGGTTGGGCTGATGACGAGCCTGCTGCCAGCAGGGTAATGCTTCCTTCCTGTGCAGAAATGCCAGATTTGTAGCTCTTGGTGGGGGATGAGCTAGGAATGTGATTTCTCCCTTTCTCCAGCAATTTGCTATCTGCCTGCATGAAATGCTAATGAACGTCTCACACATGACAGCAATGAGACCTATCCTTATTTTACTATTTTGGTCAGATTCTGACCTTACAAAGTCTAGGTCTTCGTGGGACAGTGACAAGATAGTTCTAGCAGACTCTTCCTACATCTGTGCCCCCGATGCTCCTCTCTTTGTGCTGAGCCTGTGTGTGTGTCTCTGATTTAAACGGAGTTTCCTGTGTGTTCCTGTGTATCCCTGCACCCTGCCCCACTCTGGGTCCCAGTCTCTGGGAAAGTCCAGCTTCAGCAAAGTCAACCTTGAACTTCAATCTTAGATCAATTCAGACATTTATTATCAGATGGAAATGAGTAGCATTAAAGCCATTATGGCATTTATTTATAATTTTAATGAGTCGTTGGGGGTGAGATAGGGCATGACTAGGAAGTTCAGTTGTTGATGGGCTGTGGGTTAAATGCTTGTTCAGGATGCGCAGATTCTGAGGTTTACTTCAGGTTCTGTGTCTTTGTTCTGTTCCATTTTCTCCCACTGTCCTCGTTCATCTCAGGGACCTGAGAGATGCTAGTGTTTGGTACTAAAGTTGCTACCCAAATGGCTGCAAAGTATGCCAGCCAAAGGCTTTTTGATCACTAATTTACCCAGGAAAAGTTGCCTTTCCTCTTTGTTCCTCTTAGTTTCTGTCACAGAGGAAAGAAGGAGAAAGATGCCACAATTTATTCATTGGAGAATATGCTTGGTCTTTTGTAGGCCAGATTTTAGAAGAACTAGAAGTTGCAAACTTGGAATAATTATAAGTACTCAGAAAGAGAACTTGGGAAGCTTCTTAATTTTTTCTGAAAGAGCGTCAGTATTTAGAGAAAAAATAAATAAATTAGCATTTGTGGTTGGAATAGCAAAGGCCAAGAAAGTTTCACTGACTGTGGTGCAAGTGCAGAGAATACAGATTGGGTCGGTGTCCCCTGGCCCCACCCAGGTGTTGGGGGCTGGGATAAGCCTGAAACAGGCTGATACAATCAGACCTGAGAGATACGCCTTGAATGGCAGGATGTTGCAGTCAGGAGCCATAAAAACCTCCCCTCCTGGACATGCAGGTAGCACACCAATCAGTGCCTTGATCATGCGCCCACCATGCGCCCCCCCGCCCAATCGTGGGCTAGAGCACGCCTTGAAGCCCCCTATCCACTGCGTTTCCTCTACTACCCTCCTCTATATAACTTCCTCCATTTTGAAATATAATTTGCAGCTTGATCAGAATCCTTTGTCTTGCTGCCATTCTTCGCGCCTCCTGTCCCATCCCCCTTCATCCATTACAGGTATATCGGCAGACCCCGTTGACTGCCTCGCGGGCCGAGGCACCAGGGACGCCAGGCAGTAGTAAGATGTACTTCTCACAGAAGAATATGGATGTGAACTACAAATGGACTCAGACAGGCTTAGATAAATAAGAGTAATAGATTATAAAGAAAGTTATGGTGCCTGTGGTATGCATTGCCATCTTTGTTTTTAATGTTCTGGATATTACTTTTAACTAATTTAAAAACAAAATTCTTTTAACAATTTG